ATTTATTTTATTATTATTGTTATTATTTATTTATTTATTTATTTATTGTTTTAATAATATATTATCACATATAACCACAATTATATATAGTTATAAATATTTATGTGATATTTAATTAAACGTTCAGGGTGTCATATGAAGGAAATTCTATTTCCATGCAGCTATTTACCTCAGTACACATCATTTCTCAATACACACACTTATAAATTTAATTAGGTATTGGCCCTGTTTGGTACAGCTTAATTTCAGCTTATTTCAGCTTTCAGCTTAATTTAAGCTATTTTGATGTGTTTGGTTTAGCTTATAGCTTATAGCTTATAGCTTTGTGGAAGTCAGAAAACAGCTTATTCTTTGAGTGGGGCAGGAGATGCTTTAAGAATAAGCTGGAAATCAGCTTAAGCTGAAAGTTATAAGCTATAAGCTGTTTAGGCATAAGCTATAAGCACTTTCCCACAGCTCTATCAAACAGGGCTATAATAAAGGATTGAGATTATAGGGTGTTTTAGAAAATTAGTTAAAACTTAATTTTTTAAATTAATTTTATCTTTTTTATGAATAAATTATGTGATAAATAATATAATTTTGAAAGTAAAAGTTGACTGGTAACGAGCTTTCCAAAACAGTCCAATGATTAGACACGCTCCTCCTCACATTTTTATTTTCAAAACCAGGGCGCGAAGTTGTCTCAATCTCCCGCGCCTTTCCAACCAAACCCCACGCTCTCTATATTTCGTTCTTCGCCCATCTCTCCATCTCTCTCTCTCTCTCTCTCTCTCTCTTTCTAAAAATCTAACAATCCCTAAATGCAAGGCCGCCATCCCCACCCGTCCACCCCCGGCGGCGGGTCCTCCATTTCCGACGAGTCTCATGATCCACCCAACCGAGGCAAAAGGAGGGGTGGCTACAATTGCGGCCGCTGTGGTCTCCCTAAAAAAGGCCACTCCTGTCATGCTCCCACCACCACCACACCCTCCGATTCCAACTCCGTCGTGCCCTCTCCTCTCTCCGCTGTCCGCCCCCAGGCGCCGTCCCACCTCCGGCGGGCGCTTTCCTTTGACAACATAGACATCCAGGCGTTGCCGGAATCTGACGGTGACGGTGACTACAATGCGCCGGAGGTAGAACCGGTAATGGGATCCGGTAGGTTGCCGGTGAGTTGTCTGTGGAAAGTGATGACGAGGTTGCCGCCGCCGGCGCTGTTGTCGGCGGCGAAGGTGTGTAAGGGGTGGAGGGACACGGCGAAGAGGCTGTGGAGAGCGGCGGAGGAACTCAGGCTTAGGGTTCCGGCGAAGGCTCAGGTTGGATTCGCCGGATCGGTGTTGCAGAAGTGTCCTGGTCTTGTTAGACTGTCTCTTAGAATGGAAAGGTTAGGGTTTTCAATGACTGTTCATCAGATCTAGTGGTTTTTGGATGGATCAGTTGAAATGACTGTGAACTGGACTAAACCAAGTGAATATGAATATGAATATGACCTGAGATTAATTGAACAAAAAATTTAAAAAAATGGATTTAAAACAAAATCTGAAACGAGATGTTTGAATGGGTGGATATAATTAGCAGACTATTGGTCAATATACTCGATTTCATAGTTCTGCATTGAATTAAATGAGTGATCTTTGTAGGGTCATCTAGAATTTGTTCCAAATTGCTAATCTAAGTTGCACTTGTTTTCAGTGGTTATTTTTATGTTTTTTTTTTTTTTTGTTGAATCTGATATAATATGAACTTGAAATTGTAAATTTTTGGAGAAGACAGGCATGAAGAAATTACGATAGCAATGAAATCAGTCAGATGTTGATCATTGTTTTTGTTTTTACATGGGTTAATCGTTTTCTATTTGGGTATTGCAGTGATGTGGATGCAACGATGCTGGCCTGCATTGCATTCTCTTGTCCTAATCTGGAATCTATGGAGATCTTTACGTCTAGTACCTCATTCAATCGAATAACTGGGTATTATTTCCATTCTGTTTGTGTGGCCTTTCAAATATGCACATTTTAGAGCTCAGTTTGTCGTGCTTCTGATATTTATCTGAACCTCTGATTTTTTCTCTCCGGAGGAAAGTGGGTTGTTGGAGTTTGCAGTAGGTAGCTGCCATAGAATTCCCACAGCATTGCTTTATAAAACATGATTCATCCATGCATGATCCAGTTTAAAGAAGAGATGATTTGTTGAACGCTTTTCTGTGCAACCAATATTTGGATTTGGCAGGATATGGTTTATGAGGTTTTATGATGTCAAAACCAGGCATTAAAAAATTAGATCTATACTGTGTTGAAAGATTATGAAACAAAACTGGGTCAAAGAATAGATAATGTAATTTGGGTGTTTGGGTTGCGTGGCACATTTTTTGGTTTTTAACACTTCATGTGGTGTGTACCGTGTACAAATTAGTCTTACATTTGATTGAGAGAAGGGTTAGGTCCATTTGTGTTTATTTGTTGAAATTAATTGGATCTGTTTTATGATCTTAATGCAGGGATGAATTAGGTCGTTTTATTGCCGATAGAAGATGTCTTACAAGCCTCAAGATGGAAGGTTGTTCTAACCTTAGTGGATTTATTCTTTGTTCATCAAGTCTTTCTACACTTTGGCTTTCAGAGCTTCACTCTCTCTCTAAGATGGTTAGTGCTATTATTTTCATGTGTTCTCTCTCAAGCTATTTCTTTCCTATATGCCCACATTCTTATTATTTAGAGTGCATTCAATTCATTTTTTCCATACGTGGTTTGGCTGTTTAGGTTTTCAACTGCCCCAATTTGAAGGAGATTTCCCTAGACTTTTCTTGCCAAGAAAATGATAATACTGATCTTACTAACATGGTGGATGGTTTGGGAAGGAACTGTCCAAGGCTACAAAACATACACATTGCATCAGTTCGACTTTCGCATTCTGTTGTGCTTGCTCTTACAGCTTCAAATTTGAGGTCTGTTAAATTCTTAGTTGTATGGCTGATTTTTTTTTTTTCTTTTTTTGGATAAGTCATATTATAACCAAAAAAGAAAGATATATGATGAAGTTCAATACACATCTTTTGTAAAGAGAGCAAAAATAAACAAAAACAAACAACTCCAACAAAAGAAACAAAATTAAGCCTATAGAAGACAAACACGAATTTTTGCTTTGAATTTTTTTCTACTAGCACTCTTCAAGTTATGAATTTTTGCTTTGAATTTTTTTCTACTATCCTCTTTCTCTGTATGGATGATATTTTAACACCACCATCAATGGTCTAATTAATTAAGTCAAAACAAGTGAAAATTGTGTGGAGCAGTACAAGCTTTTCTACTTTGTTTGGCTGACTCCGCATTTTTGTATCTTACCTTACTGTACTGTACCTCCACTGTGCAGAGGGTTGCGAATGCTTTCTCTTGTGCTTGGATCAGAAATCACTGATGCATCTGTTGCAGCAATTGCTTCAAGCTACTCAAACCTAGAATTGCTTGATCTGAGTGGGTAAGTTACTACCCTCAGTTTCATTGCATTTGAGTAAATAGGACAGACAGTAGTTAATGTAAGCCAGGTATTACCATGTGAAGGTTCCACAATTTTCGTGTTTCTTCATGACTTGAACACAATAATTGAAATTTGGAATTATACTTGCCTAAATGAGAAGTGGGAGTTCTTTCAAGATGCAGTCAATGGTTATTTTGTCAGAACAATTGCTTGTTTCTTAGGCTACTCTTTTAGATTGTAATTCTTATGCCACCTTCAATTTCAGGTCAAGCATCAGTGACAGCGGCATTGGAATGATCTGCAATGTGTTCCCTGAAACACTTACAAGACTTCTTCTCTCACTCTGTCCTAACATCACTTCAAGTAACCTTCAAGACCTGCATTCTATCTAATGCAACGTCACATTCTGTTTTATGTATTTATAGTTTTACTTTTGGTTTCCAACTGACTTTTTACTTGTTTCCTGTATCTTTTAGGTGGAATCCAATTTGCTGCAGCTCAACTGCCTCGTCTTGAACTCATGGACTGTGGAATGACCATATGTGATCCCAATTTCCAGAGGCCAACCTTTGAAGAAAGCTGTGACTATGAGTCACAAAAAACTCCAAGCAGCAAACTACACCTTATTTACCAGAAGTTAATTATCAAACATGGCAAGCTGAAAAAACTAAGTTTGTGGGGCTGTTCTGGCTTAGATGTGAGACTCACTAGTCTTGAGTAATTTGTATAATTTTGCTGACTATTTCTTCACTCTGGATCTGAACTTGTGAATTTGTGTGCAGTCTTTATATTTGAACTGCCCAGAACTTAATGAGCTGAATCTAAATTCTTGTAGAAACTTGCATCCTGGTATGTTCTCTGGGTTTCCTTCTTTTTCAAGCTGGTGACATACACACACAAGCATTTTGTGACTTGGTAGTTTTTTGTTAACTAATTTTATGTTGTTTTTTTAACTGCAGAGAGATTGCTTCTTCAGTGCCCAAATTTGGGAAGTGTGCATGCACTTGATTGCCAAGATATGTTGGTTGAAACCATTCAAAACCAGGTGAACAATCTATAGTTTTAAATTTATTTGCCCTTTTCTTGTGATAGCTGTTTATACAATCAGTGCAAATCAAAGGGCAGACAACATTTAGGCTATGTGGGGCGTATGAGAAGACCAGATTAGTTATTAGTTCAGTAACCATCATATTTGCAAGCATGGTATTGCGCTATTGTTGGCAACAAGTTTGATGCCTTCTCCAGTAATACTGATAAAAGTAATTTCTTTTTCTAATTTTGGGAGGATGCTTTTGAGTGATAGGATTGACTGTTCAATCATATGAACTTTGTGTATTCTAGAAAATATAATGCTTTTTTTCCCCCCCAGTATTGAAGTGGACTTCACAAACTGATTTTATTTGCTGCATTTTTCTTGCATTTAAGGTCTCTAGTGAATCTGCTGCTGTGGAAAACCCTATTCCTTATAGGCGATTAGGTGATGGATCCAAGAGGATTCGGGTCCCACTTTTTCTCAGTCAACAGGTAATACTGACAGCTTACAAATGAATATTGCTGATTTTGCTGATGACGAATACTCTCTATAGTAGGAGCATTCTATTTCTCATTTTTTGTGCTACATTTTGGGAATTAAGTTTGGTTTGATGCGTGTGTTATCTCATAATTACGCAGCGACTTCAGCAAAATGGCATATCATTGTTATAAACGTATTTATAACACAACTTACCCATCAAATCATAAAATTAAAAGTCAGCAATAGTTGCCTTGCCTTAGTTATTTTTGTTTTCCTTTGTTGATATATATGTAGAATTTTTCTGATGGGAAATCATTGCCTCCTGAAGCTCTTTTCCCTCAGATGAGAACTTGTTTTGTTGGAATTTGGACTTATAAGCTTCTCTTTCTTGCAGGAATCTGATGATGACAAAAAGGGAAGGAGGGTATTCAAAAGACAGTGCACTGTGATCGTGGATTAATGGAAGATGTGCCTTCGATGTTTTTATTTTTGACATGTAGTAATTTCTTATTGTCATATGAGATCCAAAGGGCATCTGACCTAACAGTCCAAATGGTCTGTAAGATTGTAATTGTTCAGAATTCTGAAATATAGACTTGTTGATCAGTAGTTCACAACTACAGCCCTTTATTTTTAATCATGGGGGTGAAAAATCTGATGATCAACTTTCTTTTTTATTAATTCCACCAGTCATTAAATAAAGAATACATTTTCACCTTTCAATTGTGTTTATCTTGAAGCCCATATACCGTTTCTGTTTGATATTATGCTGGAACTGGAGCTGTCGTGCTAATTTGGGATGGAAAATGGTGTTCTACCAGAAAATTTATACAGAATATTATGATCAATGATCATAAAATACAACAATAAGGCTATACTTATCACAATCCTATATACTTATTATGCATATCACAGTATTTGTAAATACAATATATATATATATATACACACGTAATTCAGTATAGATAAATTATATTGACATAATAGTTTATAAGATAAAATTGTAAAAATAAATATTGATTTCCGTTTGTCCCAAAAAACAAATGAAATTATGTTGAAAAGCATTTATTGTGTGAAAGGTAATTCACAAAACAATACTGTTACAGACCCCCAGTGACGTGGCGCAACGCCATTTGCCAATTTTTTTTTTTTTTTCTTTCTTTCCTGCCAATCACCCACAGCCACGTGGGCTGGGGGTTGCCCGCATTTTCCTTCACAAAATTCAAACTTAAATTTTTTTTATTTATTTGAACTTAATGTTGTTATTAGTATGCCAACATTTATTTCTTCAAATTTGCAAGTCAATAGTCGGATTATAATAGGAATTACATGGAAAATAATTAAATGAAAATCTAAAAGGGACGTAATATGAATCATGAGTGAATTGAATGATAAATGTAGAATTTAATGAGGATCCAAAAATGTAATTGCAATTACATGAAATAAAAAAGAAGATAAGTTATGATATATGATGTTTGGAGTTGGCCTTTTTAAAACTTCTAAGAAAAAGTTGAGTGAATGTTTGGCCTTAATGCTTGGTTAGAGTTTTCCAAAAACTCTTTTCAAGAAATTCTACTTTTTTATTTTTCGTGTTTTTTTATTTTTATTGAATTTTTTTAATATTTTGAGCATTTTTTTTTACTTTTTAGACATACCTAACATAAATATACCTAAAAAGTAAAAAAATTATGAAAGAAATCTTTTAAAAATTCACTAAATACCAAAAATATAAAAAAAAATACGAGAATTCAATACATTTTTTTTTATTTTTAAATATTTATTTATTTTTTAAAATATTTTTTCACAAATTTTTTACTTTTTAGATACATCTAAATAAGGTACATCTAAAAAAGTAAAAAAAATGTTTAAAATTTTAAAAATATTCACTAAAAATAAAAAAAACGTGAAAACCAAAAAATTCAATTTTCAAAAAACTTAATCTAAAAACCTCAAACTAAACACACTAGCATAACCCACTTGTTTGGTAATAAATTTAAATTGTTGGATTTTTCTTATTGAAATGAATATAGTGCTCTTCAAAATTTTCTAATATTCAATTTTTTATATTAATGGAATTTTAATATCTGTGAATGTAAAATAATAAAATAAGATTGCATCATCATTTTAGGTTGTTTTAGATAGCAGGTTTAAAAACTAATTTTTTTGACTTTTTTCAAAACGTGTGAAAAAAATAAAGGAGTAATATGATTAAAAAAAAAAAAGTTAAAAGTGAAAAGGCTGACTTGTCAACAAAAAGACATTAGGTATTTATGACTTTTTTTTGCCAAAAAAGGCTAAAGATTTGAGAGTTTTGTTTTTTGACCAAACAAAAGAATCCCACTTCAAATGGTGAACAAAATAAAAATAACTCTAAATATTATGTGCATATATATATATATATATATATATGTATTATGTGCATATATATATATATATATATATATGAAATCTCTTACTTTTCCTGTTTTAAAAATGATAAATTACACTTATACCTTTTGAGATTTGATTGAATTATATTCTACTTCTGACGTTTTGAAAATTACAGTCTCACTCTTGTAATTAATGGTCTAATTTTACAAACCTCTACTTATATAAAAAGCAATAACTCCTATTAAAAAAATAGAGAAAATTGCATTGGGAAAAAAAAAAGAAAAAAGGTAAAGCAAAGGAAAGGGGAAAAAAAAACTAAGTAAAAAAAACCAAGAAAAGAGAAATTGTTTAAATTCAATATTTTCATTTTGTCTAAATAATTACATTGACAGGGGTTAGTATAATTCTCCAAATGTCAACAGATGACAATTATTAAGCTCAAATCTCATGAAGTGTAGATATAATTTACCCTTTTAAAGATGGTAAAGGAAGTACTAATTTTTTTAGTAAATTTTAAAAATAATACAGTATACAATAGTCCTCAAATACGAGCTTGTTTGGGATATGCTATATAAGCACATTTTTTTTTAATCTTTTTTGGGTTATATCACCTCTCTATTTTTTTGTATATTTTTTTTGTAAAAAGTCAAAAAATGTACTTATTTAAATCATTCGAAACAACCAGTTTAATCATGCTGATGGGATCCGAATTTTATTTTCTTATTTTATTAAAAAAAATGATATATTAACCCTAACAAATAATTAGTCGATTTTCTTAAAAGAAAAAGAAATAAATAGCATAAAGCTATGTTTGGTTTTGTCTGTTTGGCTAAAAAAATAATTAAAAAAAAAGATAAAATTGTCTACATAAGGCAATAATACAAAATATCACATCCAAATTATAACCATTATACTTTTTTTCTCACAAAAGTCAAAAACAAAAATCAAACGACGCTAAAAAAGTTATGCTAAAATAGCAAAAAAGTTAAAAAACCAAGTTATTTTAACTCTTCCCAAACAAAAATATGATGAGTGTATGATTGTATATAGGATTGTTTTGAAAAGTTGGTTAAAAGATAATTTTTTTAAAATAACATATTCCTTATGTTCCAAAATATTAGTCCCTTGTTCCATTTTTCATTGTTTCAAAATATTAGTCCCTTTCAAAAATCAAGTACGAAAATAATATAATTTTTTATTTTGCCCTTATTTTAAATCCATTAATAACATAAAAAGTATAATTATGAAATTGATATTCTCCAAAAAATGTACTATCAAAGAGTAATTTTGAAAAAATAATTTTTTAAAGTGCAATAATTGCACTACCAAAAAAAATTGGATTTCCCCAAAAAAACCATTATTTTGGGACGGAAGGAGTATAAAATTTTTTATAAAAAATGTGTGTTTGGTTTGAGTTTTTTAGACTAAATTTTTTGAAAATTGAGTTTTTTTATTTTTCGTATTTTTTTGTTTTTAGTGAATATTTTTAAAATTTTAACCATTTTTTTTAGATGCATCTTACTTAGATCTATCTAAAAAGTAAAAAAATGTGAAAAAATATTTTTAAAAAATTAATAAATACATAAAAATACTAAAAATATGCTGAATTCTAGTATTTTTTTATTTATATTTTTGGTATATAGTAAATTTTTAAAAGTTTTTTTTTTATCCATACATTCTATCTGAGAGATCGTCCAGATCTGCCGCTGAAAGTTGGTTGTAAAAATCATCCCCCATGGCTGGTTCATTTCCCCATTGGTTATCTTGGTCATCTTCTCCCATTAGTGGTGGCTCATTAAAGATGCTATGCTGATAGTTAGGATACTGACTTTTATCGACGAATATTTCTTTGCTGAAGGGATATCTTGGGATAGCTAGGTTACAGTATATCTTCTGATTTCTATCTTCGCAAACTAGATGTCCATAATTTCCATTATACGCTAATAGAGGATTATTAGCAAATTTCCTTCATTTATTGAGCTAATCTCTGAGTGAACATTTTCTGCATGGCCAGGGTCTCCGATTGAGAAGTCCTGGGTACCCTGAAATTGTTGAGGTTCCTCTAAGGTACATTTTATGTTTAGCTGGAATGCACCTTATTCATTTCCACTCTGGTAGCCTGCTATCAATCAATGCTTTCACACATGGATGATGCTCTTCCATTACACAAAGTACTGAATAAGCAAGTTTATTTCCAAAGCTATCTGTCTGTTCTGGATCTGAGAAAATTATTCTAGAGACAAAGCTATAATCTAATAATTGTAAGGCTGTTAAATAACGCGGTTTGCCCCTAATTTCTATCTCCAATGGCTCGAACGTTGCTAGATTTATCTGGCAAAGGCAGATGCTGAAATCTAAATTACACTGACATCGATCAAAATACTCTGGCCTGTCCATACATCTTTCTTCTTCTAAGCAGGGCTGCTTTTCATCTTCGTAGAGATAAGTCCATTGATAAGCTATATCAAGGCAGTGAACTCCTGCTATGGACAGATCCTGAAGAAACTGCTGTATAGTGACTAGCTCATTATTTTTGCTATCTTCGACTAAGGCGAAAATATAGGGTTTAAGATCCTATATTTCTTGGCTTTTCTCACAAAAAGATCAAATGATAGAATGTCTGAAGAAATGCATTCTAGCACTCAATTGTTCAAATTCTTCACTGGTGAGTTATTTGGTTTCTAGGTCAAGAACTGGAGTGGGTGCTTTTTCTGGAGCTAATTTTTTAAGCTGATTGGTTAGGGTTCAAATAGTGGATCTCAATTGTTTTTCTTCGTTTCGGAGCTAGTCTAGCTCTTCATTGACTTTTTTGCCTTTATCCATAATTTTATTGAAATTTCTGGTGAGGTCTTCACAATTTTAGCACATTTGGAGAAAATTTTGAGAATCTAACTGAGGGTTAGTACTACTGCTTCCAATTATCTAGCTAACTGGAACTTCACTAGTAGCAAGAATGGTTGACTGCATCTTGCCCAATGTGTCTAGATAAAGTTTAGCTATCTGACTGATAAAGTAACTGGTTCCTATTTGTCTACGGGCATATGTATTAGCTGACTCGAAATCATAAAATCCATTAAACTGAGGTATGGGAAAGTTTTTGACTAAGGGTTCAACTTCTACCCAATCATGGTAAATACCAGGCTTGGTTCCTTTAGCTACTACATAAAAAGAAAAGTTCTTAGACAAAGGTTTATTCTGGATTTTTGAAAAACAAATACTAAGAGAGTTTAAGGCCGACGGGCGTTTAACTGGATGGTTATGGTTGTTCCAAAGGTTATCTAGAAGACACTGTTGAACTGGGTCTAGCTCAATTCCTGTCAATGGTTTGAATTTGTTTCTGCCTTCATGAATGG